GGGAAATCTGCAAGGACTTCTGGAGGGCACCTCACTTTCCTGTTCCCCGTCCCCCACACTCTTTCCCTCCTCCTGGCAGTCCCCATGTCCCCAACATTCCTCATTTCCTTCTCACCCATCCACTAACCTACCTTTTATCTGCCCTCTATCTTCAGCTATTTTAATTGTTTTTTTCATTTATACACCACCGTTCACCACTATGGGGACCCAAAGCTGCATATGTCATTCTCCTCTCCTCCTTTTTTAACCTCACAACAACCCTGTGAGGTAGGTTAGACTGACCCAAAGTCTCCCAGTGAACTTCCATGACACAGTGGGAATTTGAACCTTGGTCTCCCAGATCCTAGCCTGAATCTCTAACCTCTAGTTCATACTGGCTATTGTTGGGTCCCTACAGGTCTCCAGGTGGTTGCTGCCAGTCTTCCATCAAAGGCCAAAACAAACCTGGAAAGGGCCCTGGTCCCTCCTCCTGCCTTTTAGTGACAGAAACCAAGACTGGAAGGCTGACAATACTGTTACAATTGCCTAGCAATGGCTGCTTATGAAATTCATTTCTTAAAAATTACAAGCACTCCTATAATTTTGGATGAGTTTTTTTGGTTTTTTTTTTTTTTAAGATTTCAGGGTTGTTGTTTTTTTGCAAAACCTGTAGTTTTCCCCGCAGGTTATAGGATGACAGATTTTAGGTTGTCTTCTGAAGCATCAGTTACTAGGAAGATGGTTGCTGTGATGCAGTCTGTATGCAGAAAAAGAGCTCTGCAAGCAGATATTACTTGCATTACTGCAGCCCTAAACCAGTGTCCACTGAATTACCACAGTTTTCCAGATATACATAGTATGATAACTCAAGGGACCATGGGAAATAAGGAAACAGCTACCCGTGGAATAGAATCCTAACCAGTGCTCCCTCTAAGCTGTGGAGTCTTGTGAGCAAAATTTCTACTTTGTGAGCGACTGGCATTAAAGTTGTGAGTGAGTGATTTGGCTACTGCATAAATACGTTTGCTCTGGAGCCATCCCTTCCTGAGCTAAGGAGGATATTCAGAGAGGTGGCCGAATAACGCCTGCTCCCACCTCTGGTATTCCAAGGAGGTCTCCCATCCAAGTACTTGCCAGAGTCAACCCTGCTTAGTTTCTAAGATCTGACAAGATTGGGCTTGCCTGGGCTATCCAGGTCACGGCCAAGGTTTCTAGAATCTTGATGTAGAAAGATGTTTTCTAAAGACGGTTTAGTTCTTGGATTCATTGTAGTAAACGTATTTCACAGAGTTTTGTGTGCAAGATAGTGTTGGATTCATTTACCGTGCCATTTCATTGCCAAGTCTCTACTCCGACAGTCTTATTATGCATAGAGTCCAAGTATAGGTCAAGTTCTCATTAAATGGGTTCTTAGTTTGTGGCTGTAGGCTACTGTAGTGGACGAGGCTAAACTGTGGTGGACATATCATGGTGCCTTCAGAACAGAAGCTGTTCAGCTGGATGGGAGGTTAAATTTGAATTTCACAATTAGAGATGTAAAATTTCCGGAAATTTTGAAGCTCAGAAAAAAACCCGTTTTTTCTCTGGTGTTTTTTCCCCCCAGAAAAAAATGGAAATTTTCGGAAAAATCGAAAATTTTGAAGTTCGGGGAAAAAACCCGTTTTTCCCCCCAGTTTTTTTTTTTGGGGGGGGGGAACGGAAATTTTTGGAAAAATTGAAAAAAAATTGCTACATTAGCATTTTTTTTGTCTTTTCCAGATTGAAAGTCATTCTGTTACTTTAGGGACATAAAATATGACTATGGACATTTTTACTTGGCATGAAATTATCACAACTAGCATATTAAAAATATAGTGTATCCAAACAGTTATTACAAACAGAATACCCACCCACATGCAAAAACAAAACTGAAACCTTTTTCTTTTCTTGTGACAAGAGCACCTCCTAAAGGAAGAAATGCATCTTGTTCTTGCATTGGAGAGTTCAGTTTGTAACCTAGGTCTTGCTTGTCCTCAGTGCACAGAAATTAGATCAATCTGATACCATACGTATATGTTCCATAATTTTTTTTTCATTTTTCCAATTTTTTGGAAAACAAAAAAGGCTTCAGGGAAAAAACGGGGGGAAAAACAGGTTCCCCCCCGAATTTTTCCGGTAGTCACAATGCTCATCTAGAAGGAGCCCCCAGTATAGCTGCCTAGAATACTTGCAACAAAATCGTCTGGGGGGGGTTCGAGCGGGGTAGCAAGTTGAAATAAATAAATACTTTGGTTTCCCACTTCCAACTGGAATAGAGCGTCTGTTCAATGGGGACCAAAGCATAAAAGTTTCCAGGAAGAGGAGGAGCGGTACTGCTTAGGAGGCGTCACTATTAGGAATCTCCCAAATGTCTTGTGAAGACAAAATGTCTCTTGAAAAGAGCTATGAAGGTAAATTTCACCTCTTCCAGCAAATTGCATCCTGAACCCGGTGCTTCCTGTTCCTTAAAGGGCAGCCGACCCACAGAATCCCCCCCTCCCCCCCTTGGTAGTTTTCTGTTCTGTATAACCCAGTCCCACTTTCCGTGCAATCTTGTGTGGTGGATGTGTACCATAAGGAAACATATCAGCTGTGACTGGAGTGTTTTCGGCTGCAGTGAACTGCTATTAAACTGGGCCACGTCATGGGTCCTTGGGTGGCATTTTTAAAAATGGATTTTTTTTGCATTCATTTAGATTCCCCAAAACAACATGTAAAGTAATAATTGGTGGTATCTCAGTCTTTCTCAACATGCAGCATTGTTCTGCCGCAGTATCCCACTCATTAGGCCGTTGTGGTGGTTCAGATCTCCTTTCACACACCCCCTCTGCCCCCCCCCGACTGCTGCTGCCGTTTGGATGCTCACTTGCGTTGCTGCACGCGCCTTCTTTCTCTCCCACCATTTCCTGGGCTTAGAGAGTCTTGTTGCTGTCCAGAGGCAGAGAGCGAGGAGCCAGGTGCGCCCATCAGGCTTCAGCTAAAATATTTTATTTATGTTACTTATAGCCCCCCCCCCTTTCTCACTTGGACTCAAGGTGGATTATGCAGAGTCAATACAATGGGACATTTGATAAAAAGTGAAATAGGATTTGGGTTGTAGAACCAGCCAGTAATCTAAAAAATAGTACTGAAGCAAAGCATGAGTATAAATAGTTAGCGGCAGGGGTCATTTCCTGCAGGAGCAGAGCTCCAGCAGTAAAGAGCCCAGGGGGCAGGCACTTGCAACAAGCCCCGCCCTCTGCTCCCAGCAGCCCTCAGTCAGAGCAAGAAGCAGCCAGGTAAGCTGCAGAGCCCCCCCCCGGCCCAAAACAGTCCAGTGGCACCTTTAAGACCAATTTTTATTCAGGTACAAGCTCTCCCTCCTCTGCGAGGGCAGATCTGCACATTTCTCTCCCCTTTCCCCCAATAGCTAGCAATCCAAAACAGTCCAGTGGAGCCTGAGCGGTGGGTGTTGCCTTCTGACACATTTCTGGTGATGTCAGGGGGTGTGGCATATGCAAATGAGTTATGCTAATGAGTTGTGCTAGTGTGCTCCTGCACCTCTTTTTCTACGAAATGACCCCTGGTTAGCAGTGATATTTAGATGGTCGGTTGCCAACTGTGTTTATGTGTCCCTTCCCTCCTGTACTGTAAGTGGTCTTACATGTTGGGGCTGTGAAGGCCTAAGCAGTTTTGTTGCATAATATTCTTAAGCCAAGATCTTCTTTCCTTCCAAATGGTTGTTGAGGTTTAGATTTTGGTGGGGATTTTTTTTTTGGGGGGGGGGTGCATTACCCTGTTTGCAGGATCCTGTGCTCCCCTCTGCTATTCTTGAGGGGAGATATAAGCAAATTCCTTATTCAGTCAGGTTCTGTGGATGTAATAGAAGGGAAATAGAAACTGTTGAGCATGTACTCTTACACTGTAAATTCGAGTGGAATTTATAGAAGCCCCCCTTAGGTTGGTAGCAGGCCAATCGGATAGAATCAAGGTACAATTTCTCCTTGCTTCACGAGATCCGGAGATCATTGAACTGACCGCTAAGTTTCTCCATGGTTTTATAAAACGGAAGAGTGACCCTGACCATATTAATGATTCTTAATTTGTAAGTCTAAAAACTTAAGTTTAAAAGTTTAGAATGCCAATTTTTTTTTAATGATTCAGGCATCTTTTGTATGGTCAAATCTAGCTTGTGACAACTTGAGTTAGGCCTGACATAGCCACGACTATCTTATAATTTCTTTTGGATTGTGTTATTGGTAAATGCTTCTAATATTGTATGCCAATAAAAGGTATTTGAATTGAATTGAATACCCTGTTTGCAGGATCCCCTCCCCCCCCAATTCATGAGCTGACATTGTTACAGTTCTTAATCTTCTTTTGTTAGGCTGTTAAGCTCAGCCTTCATTTCCAATATTTTCTTCCCCAGTGTGAAGCATCTCTTTGCAGACATGCACTCCAGGCACCATGCCTTCTCAGCTATTTATTATAATTTCAGAGTGGCTCAGCTGCCTGGGGTTTTGCATAGAGTGCCGGAGGGGGCACACGTGGTGTCTTGTAGTATTCCTGTCTCTGGAAATCTGGGCTGCGCCGATTGTAGTCTGTGCAGATAATTGTAAACCTCTTGGTGGGAGCCCCAAGTAGAATTGTTAAGTTCCTTCGCCAAAAGAGAAATCTTGTACTATGTGAAACATCAAGTGTTGTTAATACTTACTTGTATGTGCTTGTGCATAGTGTGGAAAATAGAATTTTCTCCATCCAGGGACTGCTGCTACTGCAGTAAGAAGCAAAGCAACCTCAGAACAGCAAAGATTATGCCCGCTGGCTGCTGAGATAACGGGTCTTTATTATAAACACAGATAATTATATGTGTCTCAGAACTGAGTGTGTGGTCTCAGCATAGTTCTAAGTTCGGTTGAGAACATGCTACCCGTTAAAATAGCTTGTTGAATTCCTTCTGGGGCATACATTACTAGGTCACTTCACTTTCCGATGTGTTCTGAATGACTATTTCTGCCTCGTAGGGAGAAGAAATGGGTAACAGTTGGTGACACCTCCCTGAGGATTTACAAATGGGTACCAGTAACGGAGCCAAAAGTAGATGATGTAAGTATTTCAGGGTATTTCTTGGACCTCTGGGGGAATTGCATGACCATCTTTAGAAAAATGCCAGTTGTTTTTGTGCTGTAGCTGTGGATGGAAGCTAGGAAATGGGTCTGAGACTGAAGGAGTTCTGGGTAGAACACAGCTTGACACAGTCTTTCACATCTTTCGGTAGGGGAAAAAAATCATATAATATTACTTAGCATTGGCAGTCAGTTCGGATGCTTGGAGTGAAAATGAGGTGATGATTATAGCTTCCTTGTTAAATTTATTAAAAAGTAGACGAGTCCTTTTCCGGAGCCAGTACCCAATACGCAGTCTGGCAATTAACTAAATGGAAAATTGATTTTTAAAAGTGGGGGTTGGGTCTCTCTGAAAGATTCTGTTGACTTTTCAAACAAACATTGGTGCTATTTTTGGTCCTTGCTGAAACCAGCTCGAGATTGTGGCAATGAAAATTGTATTGTATAGTTGTCTTTATTACCACCTGTCCTTACAGTTTATTTATTAAAATGTATATGCCGCCTTTCTGCTTGGTTCAAGGTGGCTTACAGAATAGTTAAAAATATCTTCAGCTAAAACCAAGGATAAAATAAGAAGCCCCAAATCCCTCTCCATCTCCAGTTTGGTGTAGTAATTAAGTCCACGGACTCTAATCTGGGAGAACCAAGTTCGATTCCCCACTCCTCCACTTGCAGCTGCTGGATGACCTTGGGCAAGCCATATTTCTGACAAGAGCTGTCCTTGAAATAGAGCAGTTTCTGTCAAAGCTCTCTCAGCCCCACCTAACTCACAGGGTGTCTGTTGTGGGGAGGGGAAGGGAAAGGAGTTTGTAAGCCGCTCTGAGACTCCCTTGGGTAGTGAAGGGTGGGGTATAAATCCAATCTCTTCTTCTTCTTCTCTTCTTCAAAGATGCCTGCTATTCAACCCCCCTCAAAAGCCCTGGCAAGCCGATAGGCCTCCCAGCGTCCCCTGAAGATGTCCAAGGAGGGGGCCCCACTCTCACCTCTTCAGGGTGCCCATTCCACAGACCAAGAAACACAATGGAAAAGTCCCAGGCCTTGGTCGATGCCAGATGGGCAGGCATATTTATTTGTATGCCTGCGTTTGCGTGGGTCATAATGCTTTTTCACCTGTCTTAATCAGCAGACACACAGGCTGTTGACCGAGAAAATCCCCAATACTTGTCAGTGCCCGCTGTATCATGAGGCTGTCATGTGGCCATCTGCTCCTGATTTCCAGAGTGTGGCCTGACCCCCGGTGCTCCAGTTTCCAAGCCAGGCCCCTTCCCCCCCCCTCCCCCAAAGCATCTGTCTTTTCGTTCTCTTAGCGGGTGCTGGGTATGCTGAGACTGGTGCAGCTGGCACTCTCTCCTTGGAGACCAGTCACGTCGCCTTCTAATTGAAAATGCCGCATCTTGTTTTTGCTTGGGTCTTATCGTGCAGTAGGCGCTCTCGCCCTTCCCTTTGCCGCTTTTATCTGCTGCCATGATCGTGGCACTTTAAGGGAATGGGCCGGTCCCTCCGTGTGACATTCAGCAAGTGTTGCTGCTCTGTATGGAGCTGGTGTACAAATAAGTGATTTGTTTTAAAGCAAAGGGCTTCAATTATGTGAAGCCTTCCTTTTTCAGAAATAGCCTACATGTGATCTGTTAAAGTGAAAGCTGTAATTTTATAATCGTCGCCGCTGTCCTGTGGTACTGTGCAGGCCAGTCACCGGAAGATTTTCTAGCTAGCCTAGTAACAGAGTAGGAGGGACTCCTTCCAACTGGAGATGTTGGAGCCATTTTCCCACCTAACAGTCACATGCTCCAGGGAGGGGCTCCACACACTCCCTCAGTTCTCTCTTTGCCACTGCTGGAGTAAAATATGTCTTAGCTACCGCTTTACTCTTTTCCTCTCAAAAAGGATGTTGTTCAAAAATGTTCCGCTTGTTCAACGAAGATGATGAGAACAGATGAGCACGTCATTTGTTTATTGCATTTATGGGGACAACCATAACACATCAGCATTTAAGATCTGCCAGCGGTTTACCCTGAAAGCCAGGGCCAACCGTGCCTCCTGGCTAAAAGCCACTTTGTGGGAAAAGGCTGTCTCTACATTGGCTAACCCGGCAGCAAAAATAATCTGCCTGGAACAACAGCCTGTATTCTTGGCACCCAAACTGGTCGCCGACCGCACTTCTTACGCTCTGTTGGTTCCAGGGTTGGACTCAAACTGTAGATGGTCCGGGACACCTGAAACTGCTCCGAACAGGTCGTCTTCGAACCACCACCGAAGAAGCACAGATTGAAGTTAAAACTTAAGTCTAATTAAAACAACAACAACAAAAAACTTATGTCTAATCGATCAGGCTCTGCAGATCCAAAAACAACAACATACAGAACCAAAGAAATTGGATCCAAAGGAACCATCTCCAAAGACAGGTGTAAAAGTTCGTAGAAGCACAACTCTGCGCACTCCACCCCCCATTTGCCTGTCACTGGTGTGGTCCCCATCGGTATGCGAACTAGAACCAAGGGTTGAGATACCGACAGATCACATCCCAAGATCTTCTGCCCCAGCTTCTCAGTGGGCTCATTTGGGGCCCTGGCAACAACATTGTCGGTGCCATCCTTCTCAGTGTCGTCCAGGATGGTCAGAAATGTCACAATCGTGCATGAAAATCGATGCTCCGGGTGATGGAACGGCCACAGACACCTATGTACTGGACCCCCTGTTCAGGTCCGATCACCTATGGTTGCAAAGACAAACACAGGTCCATGGCTTCGGAACGTTCTCCGGATTACACTGTTGGAGACGGTGTCACCGAGTGAGGCCTTATGTCTTTACTCAGAACAGATGCTGCAAATGGCACAATTGTTGGACAACCAGATCTTGTCTACGGATGATAAACCCTGAAACAAGATCCTAGGCTGGTTCTACCCCGATTCTCCAGGAACTGTACCTTTCCTCTTCTGAGAGGAATTCTTGGTATAGCAAAGACTACTTGGGAAAAATCATCCTCTATCCCAGCCACATCACGAAAGACAGAAAATATGTGTAGGGTTCAGTGGGAGGCCTGTCCCTTTTCACCCATCCAGCTCCATCCTCTTTAATAGCAGAAGAGGTGCAGGCCAAGCAGACTGCTGGGTCTCATTCCACCCCAGCTGACAAAGAGGGTAGAATAATCAGTGCCTTAAGTCACAAAGTTTATGTGTTGTCATCTTTAAACCTTAGAATTGCTCATTACCAGACCATTATGTCAGCGTACCAACTCTTCTTGTGGGAAAAGATCGCTCCCTATTTAGATCGGCTGCCTGATGATAAGAAGTCTTTAGCCAGAGTCATCCAAACAGAAGCACAGATTATCAAAGCAACAATTGAACGCAGGCAAGCATGCAGTCGATGCTTCTGTGCACAATGGCCTCAGCTATAATCCTGAGAAGATATGGTTGGTTGAGATCAACTGCTCTCCCTCCTGAAACATACATTCGGGTGTCAGACCCTTCAAGGGTTCTTTGCTCTTCTCAGCTAAGACTGATGATTTCCTTCAACAAATCAAGAAAAACCAACAAACAGCTCACTCCATTCATGTGGATCATAGGAAATATTTACGATTCTTAGTTCAAGGTACCCCTCACGAATATAGGGTGCTTCCTTTTGGGTTGACCGCTGCTCCTCATGCGTTTACCGAATGTATGGCAGTTGTGGTTGCCCATTTAAGATCCAAGGGATATTCTATCTTCCCCTGTTTAGACGATTGGCTGTTTACTGCCCCTTCTGTCCTAGAACTCTAGACTCATTTGTCATGGGCTTTACAAACTTGCCAAAGGCTGGGCTTACAAATTAATTGGAAAAAGTCAAACCTAATCCCTCGCTAACAAATGTCCTTTATTGGGGCTAGACTGGATTCTGTTGCTGCTCAAGTATTCTTGCCAGGGGACAAGGCCTTATCTATTAAATGCATGGTTGAACAATTCATGCTTAATCCCTTTCAGAAAGCTATCACCATCCAGAGATTATTTGGTCTAATGGCTTCAGCCGTCCTCATGGTTCCCTTTGCCCGCCTGAAAATGAAACCTTTACAGAATTGGTTCATAAGAGTGTTTAGCCCCCCTCTGCACTCTCAAAACCACTGTTTTTCATTCCCTAGAGGGATCTTGATGGAATCGAGACGGTGGATCCTCGGCTGTAACTTACTGATGGGAATACCCCTTAGTTCTCAATCTCTTCAAATCGGAATTTACTACAGACGCTTCCCTCTCAGGTTGGGGTGCCCACCAGGGGGATATATGTGTCGGTGACACATGGTCCAGAACTGAATGCGGTCTACATATCAACCTACTGAGAGCAATTCGTTATGCCCTTACTGCCTCCCTCCCTTTGTGTTCAGAAGCCACTGTCATTGGGAATGGGCAGGTGCAAGCCACACAACCCTCCAGGCCATCCATATTGCCGGTTTGGGAAAATATCACTGCAGATAGATTGAGTAGATGAGGGAGAACCCAGTGGTCCATTCATCAAGATTCTATCTACCCCATTTTTGCACAGTGGAGCTTCCCTACTGTGGGAATCAATGCTCCCTCTAAACTGTGGAGTCTTGTGAGCAAAAATTCTACTTTGTGAGCTCCTGGCCTTAAAGCTGTGAGCGAGCGATTATGCAGTAGCCAAAGTTAGTTTGCTCTGGGGCCACCCTTCCTGAGCTAAGACAAAAATGTGTGAGCTGGAGGCTGAAAAAACCGTGAGCTGGCTCACATTAACTCAGCTTAGAGGGAACACTGGTCCCGATCAGCGTCTGCCGCTTTTCGACAAGGCATCCCGCTGACTGAGGTGTGCAAGGCAGCCACCGAGTTGTCTGCAGACACCGTTAAAGACACTCTGTTTAATATAAGAAGGGAGACATCAGTACAGAAGGCAGTCTTGTATTCTATTTCGGGGTGAATCGCTCACCTCACCACCGGGATAAGTCAGCTTGTTAGTCTCCCGTACGGGACTGCACAGGACAACGATGATGAAAACAGCATTGCACTTATCTGTAACTGTCACTGTGCAGGCACACATCCCTCTCTCCTACCCCGCTGTGAGCTATTTATTCCTCTGTTGAAGGAAATGGTATCTTTGGTTCATAGCGGCTGCTCAGGAGAACCGAGGGCGTGTGCAGGGCCCCTCCCTGGAGCACACGACTGTTAGGCGGGAAAACGGCTCCAGTGTTTCCAGTTGAGGGGGCGCTCCTCCTACTCTCTTACTAGACTAGCTAGAAAACCTTTCGGCGGCTGGCCTGCATGCCTGCACAGTGACAACTCGATGAACAGCAGTTACAGGCTGTGTTCCCTCTAAGCTGAGTTAGTGTGAGCTAGCTCACAGTTTTTTAGCCTCCGGCTCACCCATTTTTGTCTTAGCTCAGGAAGGACGGCTCCAGAGAAAACTAACTTATGCAGTAGCCAAATCGCTCACTCACAGCTTTAATGCCAGGAGCTCAGAAAGTAGAATTTTTGCTCACAAGACTCCACAGCTTAGAGGGAACATTGGTTACCGGTAAGTGCGACACTGTTATTTCTTAACATGTACCTAACAGGTACTTTGCTTTCAATGTAAAGAAGAAACTGTCAGATAAATGTTCATCTTCTGAGGCCAAGTGTTGTAAATACTGTACAGTACATCCTGTAGTATATCAGAGGCTTGGGAGCAGGAACTAACTAGTACATTGCCATGGGTGCTGGGGTCCAGTGTTTGATTCCTGGAGACGTTGTCCTTGCCAGCCTGTCCTCGTCTTACGCCAGTGTGATGTGGTGGATGGAGAGCGGGATTTGGACTCGGGTGTCCCTGTTATAAGAATCCTGCTCAGCTGCTAAGTTCCTCGGGTCACTTTGGTCCAGCTGCTGATTTTTCAGCTGTGTTTACATCATGTGGTTGTGAAATTACCAGGGGGGGGCGAGGGGGGGGGCCTGTGTATCCCGCCTTAAGCGCCTCAGAGGCAGAGTGGGATAACAGTGTGAATCGTAACAGCCCCCTCTGGGTATGTGAGCTCTCTAATTTCCTTAATTCCAGCTGCGGAGATCATAATTTTCTTATTCTTTCTTTTTTCCTTTGGTGTGGTGTAGCGGTTAAGAGCGTCAGACTAGTATTTGGGAAACCCGGGTCTGAATCCTCATTTGTGCCCAAGAAGCCTGCTGGGCCACTGATGCTCTCTCAGCCTAACCTACCTCACAGGGCTGTTGTGAGGATAAAACGGAGAAGAGAACGATGTGAGCCACTTTGAGTCCCCACCGGGGAGAGAGAAAGGCAGGGGATAAATGAATTTAACAAATAAATAAAGGAATAGTGAAAATGTTGTTCTGATGATCGGCTCAAGTATCTGAAGTGCGAATACAACGCTTAATTTAGAGACCCCACCCTTCTGCTGGTAGTAATTTTAAACCACAGTATGAATTACCTTGACTTAAAAGTCCAGTCTTATGTCTGCCAGTTGGAAAAATCTGTACTGAGCATGACAACAGCAGGATATAGAGAGGAATTTCTCTCCCCAGGTGTCGCAGCCTTCCTGACTAAAGGAATCCGTGCAGCTCATAAACTTGCCGTCCTATTCAACCGGTATAATTGGTCATCTTGATCTGGATCTGTTCTTTTTTGGTTATAGTAGTAGATGATGTCATCATTCAGGTGTTTTTGATTATGCTGTTGTAGTCTTATGGCAGGAGAGCTGTTCAGGATGATATAATATTGATAAGAAGATGCCCATCTAACAATGTCCGTCTTCACAAAAAAAAAATAATTAAATGGTTTTCTGAGAATTCAGTCTCTGTTGAAGGGCACAAGCACCAACTCCTGACCGTTAGTCCAGGCTAAACGAGCTCACGATCTTAATCTCCCTTCCTGTTCCAGAAGAACAAGAATAAGAAAAAGGGCAAAGATGAAAAGTGTGGTTCTGAGGTCACTACTCCAGAGAACAGCTCCTCCCCCGGAATGATGGATATGCACGGTGAGTGGGGTGGGAACACGGAACAGTGGCGGGGCGGAGGGAGAGGAAGGAGTCTTCCAGATACGTGGATTTGATTTCCAAATTGATTGATGTGTGGCTTGCATTCCTGGTTGGGTCCCTCAGCTGTATAAAGTAAGGAATGAGGACTGAGAAAACAGTGGCTCCCCCGGGGGTCAGCCGGTTCAGAAGTCTTCGTTGAGCAGAGGGTAACACCATAATCCAAAAGACTTTAAGGGGAGGGGCTGAGACTCAGTGGCAGAGCATCTGCTTTGCATGCAGCAGTTCCCTTGTTTAATTCCCAGCATCTCCAGCCGGAAGGTCCACGTAGTAAGTGTTGTTAAAGACCTTTTCGGCGGCGGCCCCACGCTGGTGGAACGAGCTCCCGGATAACACCAGGGCCCTGCGGGACCTTTTACAGTTCCACAGGGCCTGTAAAACGGAGCTCTTCCACCAGGCTTTCGATTAGGGGCCGCCGCTGATGAGTGGGCCACTGGCAAATGTGCCGCTGACGAATGCGCCGCTAGAGTACATCTTGGCCCGCCAGAAACACCAACTGGTTATTGCCTTTGTTTGCATATTATACACCACCATCTTTATCACTAGTACTGTTCAGTTGCTTAGGCTTTGTTGTATATTTCATTGTATTTTAATGTATTTATTGTTTTAGTGTGTTAATGTTGTTAGCCACCTCGAGCCAGTTCTGTGGCAAGGCGGGATAAAAATTGAAACAAACAAATAAATAAATTTCTCCCCCTGAAGAGCAGCTGCCAGTTGGAGCCACGGTCAGGCTCAGTGTACGGTAGCTTCCTGGGACTGGGTTTTATAAAAACAATTTTATTTGGATATAACATCAATGATAATAATAATAATATACTTTATTGTCATTGTATATAGTACAACGAAATTAAAGGTGCAATCATTTCAGTGATCTACAGCCATACTCATATACACTCACACAACCATTCACAACCATCCCACATCACTGTTAAGTCAAGTACTTCATATGATCACCTGGATGTTTGTTTTTCACACTGCTAATTCTGAAGTCCTAGGCCTATTGCACTATTCTTTGGATGTCTTCTGCTGTATGAGGACAAATTATGAAGTGTTATATGTGCACAGTGATGGTGCTCGGTATGCCAGCTAGCTGAATAGCTGCTCCTGCAGGCACACAGTTTACTGGAGTACAGGGATAACATACAGTTATATGTGGGAGTTTGGGGGTAGGGACATGGGGGCATATAACATTGGCAACATTGCCAACATCACTATAACCCAGAAGTGACAATGAGTAGCTCTAGGCAACACTGGAAACTACCATAGAGTTTCCAGCGATCCCTGGAGCTACCCACTGTCACTTCCGGGTAGTCACCAGAAGTGATGTACTCGCACAGAGGCCAGCAGCATTTTATTTTTCTCCCACCGTGGCTTGAAGAAGTGGCAGGCAACATCAGCAATCAGCAGGAGGCCTGACAACCCTAACCTTCCAAATCTTCTATTTTCTTCTCTCTTCTCCCCACATCAATAATTAAACTTATAAGGTAACATTTCTTTCAACTATTATTCTTACACATTTGAACTAACTCCTTCTGTCTCTTATTAAAGCAAAATAGATTATTCTTCACATCCCAATATTTCTCCAGATATTCTTTAAGATCTATCCAGTCTGCAAAAAATTCTTCGCTTCCCGATTCTTGAGCTTTCCTGTCATTTTATCCATTTCAACTATAAAAAGCAACTTTTTTATCCACTCCCAGATCCCTGGCGTTTTTTCTTGTTTCCAGCATTGAGCATAAGTCATTCTGGCTGTTGTGATCATGTACCACATTAGAGTCCGTTTTGCAATGTTTACTTCTTCCATTTTAAGTCCCAAAAGTAACAATTCCGGCTCCTCCTTAAATTTACATTTCGTAATTTCCTCCATCTCCTGGGACTGTTGAATAGCAACCTCAGCTTTTAAAATAGAAGACTTTGGAGGGATGGTCTGAAGGAGAGGGCTTCGTCGGCTGTAGCTTCGTGCCGGTGGGCGTACGGGTGGGAATGTTAATGGGCGCATATTGTTCGATGTTGACAATGAGGAAGCGATGTGGCAGTGGAGGTTTTGTGTGGTAAGAAAGCTGGAATGGCTGTGGATCTTGGCGTTATTACAAAAAGGTTGTTCAGAAGCTTAGATCAAGTTCTGCAAAGTGAGAGTTGTTAGGGCACCTGCGTCCTGGGCTCATAGGCTCCTTAGGCAGCAGAATGCATGTCGTTTAAAACTTCTCGAGGACAGGACTCGGTCACCTTCGCATTCCAGGCCCCCGAAGAAAGGGTTCACCCAGCCTCCCTTGGCAGCTTCTTCTGTTGCTAGACTGTAATTGTTTGGGGGCCTTTTTTTTTTTTAATCTGCTGGAACCTGAACGGCAAGGAGCACACTGTAATGATGCTATAAGAAATGGAAATGTCTTGATGCTCTAGTTCACAGTGATTTCATTAGCTTAACAGTGAATAGTGCAGATTCTCATTTGTTGTCAGAGTGGCTTCCAGGACATGGGCTTTTCTCCCCTCCCCTGTTATATACCTCCTGTAAAGCCTCCAGCCTGATGAAAGTGAATGGGGGAAATGAAGGTTTTCTCTCCAGAAGCATGTGCTTGACAGATTAACACTTGGAGTGAGTCATTAAATGTTACCATGGCTACCATCAGAGCAATCTGTAATTTTCCAATTCCGGATGTCTCGGTGAGAGGCGAAGTAGGTAAGGCGATAGCTTTTATTAGCGGGAACAGCTACAGGCAAGGGCTTGCAAGCTTTGCAACTCCAGAAGCATTTTTTGGGCAGTGGGCCAAGGCTGCCCTGTCAGAGCCGGTTTGGTGTCGTGGTTAAGTGCGCGGACTCTAATCTGGGAGAACCGGGTTTGATTCCCCACTCCTCCACTCGCAGCTGCTGGATGACCTTGGGCAAGCCATAGTTCTGTCAGAGCTGTTCTTGAAAAAGAGCAGTTTCTGTCAGAGCTCTCTCAGCCCCGCCTTCCTCACAGGGTGTGTGTGGTGGAGAGGGGAAGGGGAAGGAGTTTGTAAGCCGCTCTGAGACACCTTTGGGTAGTGAAGGGCGGGGCATAAATCCAATCTCTTCTTTTGGTGTAGTGGTTAGTGCACGGACTCTAATCTGGGACTCCTGTAAGCCGCTCTGAGACTCCTTTGGGTAGTGAAGGGCAGGGTATAAATCCAATCTCCTCCTCTTCTTCTCTCAGGAGCAGTTTCTCTCAGAGCTCTCTCATCCCCACCTACCTCACAGGGTGTCTGTTGTGGGGAGGGGAAGGAGTTTGTAAGCCGCTCTGAGACTCCTTTGGGAAGTGAAGGGCGGGGTAGAAATCCAATCTCTTCTCTTTTTCTTCTTCTTCATCCGGACGGGTCTCCCCCTTCTACTGCTTGAATGGATTTCAGCCCTCTTGCAAAGGTCTAATGATGTACCTCTGTGGTCAGATGTTACATTCTTTAGGCAAGTAGAGCACTTGTTCTTCAGACGTTCAGTGTCATGGATATGAAAACTTTCAGGTAGTTGAATTCTTGCTTTGGAACCCCAGAGACCCGCATCCAGAAATGGGTCAACAGAATCCAGGGGTAGAATTGATAGCCGATCCTTCTCACTACCACCAGTTCAGCCTTCTGCATTGGCTCTTAATCTGCTCTATAAGTTCTTGATGCATTGGCGTAATTCCAACCCACGCTGTGCCGAGCCTGGTATTCATTCTGGCACGTGCAACGGACGGTTAGCAGAGAGTTCTGCTTGAAATGTCATTTTTTCCTGCCTTTGGTGCCTTCATTTGCTTCCACTTTAGCTGTGTTTGCTGTCACCCGTAAGGTAGTTTAGAAGTGGAACTCAGATCTCCTGTTCATCCCATAGGACTAGCAAACAGGTGACTTCAGCCACAGTATTTGTAGCCATGTCTCCTGTGCATTCCAGTCTTTTGTGTTTACTGTTCCCCCAAGCATCATTACAAAGCCAAAATAAGAATGTAATGAGGTCTGTAATTGCTACCAGCTAGACGCTGGTCTCCAGGACAAGGATGTGACTGTTTTCCTTTAATCAGTAGGTTAACTCAATCACGATAGCATTCCGCAATAGCTGGCTTAGACTCATCACTGGGATAGATTAGAAGCCCCCCATTTCGCCTCACAGTTCGTGCTGAAAAGTGGAGAAATCCTGTAAATGCAGAGAGCATCGCAACGTGTACACAAGCTTAAGCCAAGAGGCCCTAGAACTTTCACCCCAGTTGGTTCCTTATCCTTGGATGACCCTGCGCTGTTAAATAGGCCGAGCTGTGTGCAAGTATATGTAACAGGGAGATTTTGCAAACAGAAATCTAGGCTTCTGAATAGAGTCCATGTGAACGTTAGACTGCCAGTGGCCCAACTGGACAGCATTGGCAGCTGCTTTTGTTGTTTATAGATCAGCTTCAGCTGATAAATAAATAATAATAAATAATAATGCTTTTGATTTATTAATCGCTTTCTCCACGAGTGGGCTCAAAGTGATTTACAGTTACCCTTTTAGACAGGGGACTAACAATGTTTTCATAGGGGATAGGAAAGACAACATATAATTCATTTTTAATTGCACACGCCGTAACTGCACGGTGGAAACGTCTCTGGCTTGGATCAGTCATTTCCCGAACGGCTGCGTCGACCGGCTTGATGACCGTTGGGGCTTCAGGACCCGTGTGTCCTATCGCCACACTGCCACCGCCTGGCCGGAGCATCCCACTGCAGGGATTTTTCTTGTAGCCAAGTAGTTTCTAACCGCCTTCCGATCCTGGAGCAGGACGTCCCAACCGACAGCTAACACCTTCCCACAGGGGAGTTGGTGTGCCCACCCTCTCTAAGGAGTGGTTCCCATTTTATCTACTCGCTGAGGCTTTCGAATTGCTGGGTGGACGTCAGAAATGACGGTTTGTTGTCAAAAGGCGTGATCTGCCCACAGTAGTCCATGCTCTGATCACATCCAGCTTAGATTACTGTAATGGGGCTGGAATGAAGTTGGAGTCCATTGGCACCTTTAAGACCAACAAAGTTTAATTCCGGTTGTAAGCTTCCGTGTGCATGCACACTTCTTCGGAGACATTGAAATGGATTCCCTCAAGCCTCATATAGATTGGGGGGGGGTAGTCGCCAGGAAGGGCTAGTTAGAGTCAAAACCGCATAAGTAACTGGGCAATAAATATAGCTGAGATTGGATTAAAGCAGTTAGTAAGACCTGTGAATGGCAGTAGATTAGCAGACAAATGCAAGAGTGAACAAACTGATACGAGAACTAAGTTTGAGTCTTTCAAAACTGTCCAGAAACGTCTGTAAATCCAAAATGTGGCAGCCGGGCTGTTGTCAGGGGTTAGATTCAGGTATCGTATCTCCCCTGTGCCGAAAGATCTGCACTGGCTTTCCCATCTGCTTCTGGGCATAGTTCCAAGGGCTGGTTCTTAGCTTCAAGGCCTTAATCAGCTCGGGACAAGAGTACTTCAGGGACTACCTCCTCTCATACTGTCCAGCCTGCCCGTTAAGATTCTCTTCTCACGCCCTGCTCTGTGCCCCCTGCTTACAGGGGTAAGGCAAGTGGTGACCAGAGACAGGGCTTTTTCAGTGGTGGCACCTCACTTTTTTTAAACCCTCCCCCCTCGAGGCTCACCTGGCACCTGCCTACTTTTTGCCTACCTTTCCTCCTTCAGGTGCCAGGCCAAAACATTTCTCGTTACCCAGCTTTTAGCTGATGGGTTCCATATCTTCTTTGCTGTTTTATGAATCTCATTCCAGGCCGCTCGGTGGTTGCATTATATCGTTTCTCATCGGCTTGTTTTTAACAGTTTGTTGGTTTGCACTGTTAGTTTTGAGCCGCCTCGAGCAGGTTTCTGGAGAGGTGGCATCTAAACACTCTGAACAAGTTTACTCGCCCACCGTGCACCCCTTTCAGCCTTAGAGTGGGTCTGCCGCACCGTTACTCCAGATGCCTTTTGCCTTGTCAGTAGTGGAGTTTGGGGAGAGGGACGGCGGGGAAAGTAAGGAAGCTTCCCTCTACCTTTGTGTCTCTTTTGATGAAATTAAATGCACTCTTTGTGAATGGTGCAAAACACAAGAGACCACTGGTTAAAATCACTTGAAGTGAACGATACACACACACACACGCACATACTAGGAGCAAGGCTCATTGCAGCAAGTATGCAATGGGCGCTAGAAAGGGGGCCCACCTTGTAGCCACTGCCTTGCAGCTCCCCCCAGGCTCCCTGCTTTGTAGGCACTCCTCAGACGCCGGGCGTGGGGTGTCGAGGGGCCGGGCCGGCAGCGGCTCCCTACTCGAGCTGTCTTCGAGGACACAGAGGAGCGGCACGTTGGCCCTCTCCCCGCTACCAAGATGGCGGTGTCGAGGGGCGAGTGTCTGGCAGCGGCCTGTGGGGCGTAGGCACCGTGGTCAGCCTCCAAGCGGCCAGAGTGGTGACTCCAGAGCCTCTCCGTGGCTGTCCAGCTGGGCTGCTGCCCTCGTTGGCGTCTGCAACAGCCGTGCAATGTTGCCCCCGGGGCTGCAGCAGCACGGCTAGCCGCCGGGGTCCCTCCCTCCCCTCCCATCAGAGTCCTTGCACGAGCATTCGTAGTCCGGATGCAAGCTGCCGCGTTTTGAATAATTCTTTTTCAAATTGAAAGGCTATAGTGGGACCCAATCTCAGTAGTAACACATGCAGAAATCCGTTTAATCAATCCTTTGAAAAAGAATTATTTGAAACACGGCAGCTTGCATCCGGACTATGTGTCGCTTATGGATTTCAAGATTATTTGGATCCTCCTGGAACTATACGAGTCCACTCCATGAGGAATGCATGTCAAGTTGGACTATGAAATTATAATACAACAGGAGTGAGTGAGACACTTTGAAATTTATGGGACTTTACTTTTCTGTACTATTATGATTATTTTTCTGCATTTGTGTTCTGTCTTGCAAGAATACTCAGGTTTCATCTAGTTATACTGATAGTGAATTTGGCATTACATATAATTTATATATATACACACACACAGTTATAGTTATAGTTCACTTCAAGTGATTTCAACCAGCAGTCTCTTGTGTTTTGCACCATTTCTTGTATGCTGGTTTCCCTCCTTTTTTTTTGGTCTCTTTGTGAATGAGGCAGACACTTGAATAGCAACCATGGAAGCCAGCATCATATCTAGTTCAGCTCTTAAGTATTTGCAGCAAAACAAATTAATACTGGGAGAGCTAGTGTGTGGTGTCACGGTTAGTGTCGGACTAGGATCAGAGAGACCCAGAATCGAGTCCCCACTCTGCCAAGGAAGCTTGCTGGGTGACCTTGGGCCAGTCACAGACTCTCAGCCTAACGTACCTCACAGGGTTGTTGTGAGGATAAAATAGAGTCGAGGAGAAGCCACTTTGGGTCCCCTGGGGGAAGAAAGGCTAGGGTACAGATGAAACAAGTAAATAAATGTTATGTCGTTTTGGCCCCGCTCGCATCCTTGACACAGAGAATTCCTGTTGATTTGAGAACAAAGTTTGAACGTGCTACAAATGCAAGAGAATTCTATATGGCGATACCCACAACCCCTCCCCCCAAAAAAGTTTTGGAGTGCTCCGTTTTTTCACCAAGCCACCTTTCTGCTTGTAGATGACAACAGCAACCAGAGTTCGATCGCTGATGCTTCTCCGATAAAGCAAGAGAACAGCAGCAATTCGAGTCCCACGCCGGAGCAGAACTCGACGGGGCAAGCAGATGGTCCCGAAACGAAGTCCGATGACACTCAAGCGGAAGCGAAAGAGGAGCCTGGGTCAGAAGGTAAAGGAGCCGTCGCTGCCTTTGCTTCCTCTTTTCGGGGCTGGCAGACCTCGCGTGGTTCATGGAAGAGGGTGGTGGACCGCCAAGCCCATTTCTTTCACATGCAGAAGATGAAGCAAAATTTAGTTAGCTTTCACTTTTACTATGCCTACGTGAATAGTTATTGGCAAAGGTGAATTTTTGCGGAGCTTGTTAGGTCACAGTACAAAGCACAGTTTCTTGGCCTTGGCAGCATATAAGCATATGGAGCGGAGGTCCATCAGTGGCTCTTAGCCACAAGGTATAGATAGGGACTCTCAGTCTGGGGCAAGGAATGCGCTGTATTCTGGTGCTTTGGGGGGGGGCAACAGTGGGAGGGCTTCTGGTATCCTGGCCCCACTGCTGGACATCCTGATGGCACCTGGTCTTTTTGGCCACTGTGTGACAGAATGTTGGACTGGAAGGGCCATTGGCCTGATCAACCATTGGTTTCTCTTATGTTCTTAATATGGAGCAGAGGTCCATCAGTGGCTGTTAGCCACAAGGTATAGATAGGGACTCTCAGTCTGGGGCAAGGAATGCGCTGTATTCTGGTGCTTTGGGGGGGGGCAACAGTGGGAGGGCTTCTGGTATCCTGGCCCCACTGCTGGACATCCTGATGGCACCTGGTCTTTTTGGCCACTGTGTGACAGAGTGTTCGACTGGATGGGCCATCGGCCTGATCCAACACTGGCTTCTCTTATGTTCTTAAGCATGCAGATATTTCCCATTCCTTTTCATATCAAGACACCTGTGCTTAATTTTGAGTGGCTCAGCGGCTGAGCTCTGAGGTGCTGGGTTTGTACTCCTCTGGTTTAGCCAGGTTTCTTAATTAGCTCCTTTGTAATCATGGGGTGCAAAAAATAGCAATAGCTTGCTACCCTGAAGCTGCTTGAGTGGCGCCCGGCTTTAAGGTGAGATTGAGTTCTAATCTGGTTCACTCCAGCTCTTAAGGCGCTATTGGGAACTCCTCTTAAATATGTTCACTTTTAGTGTGCATTTTAACGTGTAGTCTGAAGGAATGCAGAATCTAATACTTTAGTTTTCTTGGTTTTAGGCTCATGAGTGAAAGAGAAGGGAATACAGACTTTACGGTCGAGGAGAGGCTTTAATCTCCCTCTCTCCGATCACCAAAAGATAATTGGGTTTTCAGTACAGAAATCCATATAAGGTCCTCTTTAACGTCTTCCTGGCCACTTCTTAGATTCTGTTTTGTCTTTATTGCATTTCAGACAGTAAGCGTAGAGTCCTATGTTTGGTATTAAGAAACTATAAACCAAGACTGGGTTTTTGAATGGATCCAGTTGAAGAGAATATATTTGGTGTAGTTCTATAAATAACACGTTCTTTTGAAGTCTGTCCTGCGTGAAACACTATTATAATCATTCCGGAAGTCATTCTGTAGATACCGGAACAAACTAGCCATTAGTGTATGAATTCAAGGTCGTGCGTTTTAGCTTTGTAGTTAATTGGGGGGGGGGGTATCTTTGCTCTCTTGCATTGCTTCTCTCCCCTGAGCCTGTCTCCTGTAGGCTGCCCACTCTGCAGAAACCTTACCCAAATGCTTGCAGAGGTTACCTTTTGTATATCCATGTCGCCATACCTCCCTCTAGTGGCTGGCTCAAAAAGCTGTCCAGCTTCCAGCCTGTATCTGAGACGCTGCCAAGGGCCCTCACGCCAGATCTCCCTGCTTGCTGAATGTTTCAGGTTCTCTTCTAACGACGATCACTGTGCAATCACTGTTGGCTCAAAAGCGCGGTGTGCATATAGACTCTGTACAATTTGCCTGTAAACTTTTTTCAGATGCGTCCGATGAACAGAATTCACAGTCTTCATTGGAAAATTCCATGAACAGTTCAGAGAAAGTGGAAACTCAGCCGCTGGCAGAAAACGATATCGCCACAGAGACATCTAAAAACTCTCAGGTAATTCAGAAAGGGGCAGCTATGCCCACGTCTTAAAAACAGATGGGAACTTCAAACAAAAATGGGGGGAGAGGCATTGTCAGCAGTCAGTGTCAAAGTTTACCAACTTGGTATTAAAATTTTGTCACACTTGCTGTTTGTGTTAACACTTGACAGTCCTTTCTGTCTCAGCAAGCTGGTCTGCACAGCAAGCAGTCCTTCATTCTTACATGGAGAGGTATTAAAAGTGTTTTATCTGGCTCTTGTAAAAGCCTAGGTGTCTGTTTAATTTATGGTTGGGCTGATGTGGGCATGTGTCAACAAGCAGGAAAGAAGCAACTGGTAAAGGCCCCCATGTGGTTTGAGTTAGGGATTGTGCATTCTTTCCATTTAAAACCCCAGTCACAAGATAGAAAGGTGGACTGGCTTTTGGTTCATTTCTAGATTAAGGTTGGTCATGAGAGAAGACACTCTTGTTCTCCGGTGGTCCAGGAGTGGGACAGTCCTTGACTCCTTACTCCTGGGAAAGCACCTCCCCCTTCCATAGGCAGGGCTGGCAAACTTTGATCCCAGAGGGGAGGGGCTTATCCTCTGATCCCCAGTCTTACCGGCCCTGCCTTCTGAGCAGGACATGCTGGCTGTGCTCTGAAGAGCACGAAGATCTCAGAAGACACCGGAAGGTCAGAAGAAGAAGCGGAGACCTAAAGGGCAATGGGAGAAGGTACTTACCTTCCAGCCCTAAAACATATTCGAGAGCTGCAGGCCTCGAATTACAATGGATCCGGCGCCGGCAGTCCTGGGAGGCCCCCAGGTGGTCGCGACGCCGAGAGGAACACCTCGGACCCCGCTGGGAAGGCGGCGGTAAACTTCTCTCTCTCCCCTTCGGCGTACAGCGGTTTTGGGGACAGACGCTCAGTGAAGAGCCTGGGGAGAGCAGAGGCAAGAGAGGCGGCCGAGGGTGGTGCAGAATCTCTGTCGCCGTCCCTTTCGGCATTGGAATGGAGCCCCCTCCTTGTTCCAGATCGTGGCGAGGAGGGACGTGTCTCCTGCGCAGTCTACCCGGTCGGCTGAACCACGGTAGGACTGTATCCATTGAGAACTGGGAAGGTGTGGAGGGGGAGAGAGAGA